ACACACACACACACACACACACACACGCACACATGTATACATGAGAGTATACACACAATACAATAATAGAAGCTATAAGTCTGGAGCACATTATTTTCAAAGGATTGTTCTGCTTTGCAAACTTTAGCTCATTTGAAACTCATAAAGACTGTACAAAGTGGCATTTTAACTCTTTATTTTATAGGTGAAGAAACTGAGACTTAGAGAAATTAGGTTTTTTTGTTTTTTTTTTAAATTTTATTGGGGAACAGCCATCGTCAATAGTTACACATTACTTTCATGCTTCAATGGCATAATTGACTCTTTTAAGGAGGGAGCAGCTCACAGTGACCCATGCGGGGATCAAACCGGAAACTTGGTGTTATCAGCACCACACTCTAACCTATTATGGAGCTAACCAGTCAACTGAAATTAAGTATTTTAAATATTATTTAATACTATCAAGTATTGGCACTGGGGTTTGAAACTCAAAGCCTAAGGACTTCAAAGCCCAAGCTTTTCCCCACTGCGCTTCAAGAAGCCTCTGCTTCTTAAAAGGAGAGTCTTGCTCGTGGGCTAAGAGGGCAGGGGGAGAGCATCTGGTGTCCGGAAGGCATGGGGCAAAGTTGAACCTCACCTACTTTACACTCATACTATGTTTGTAAGGATAGTCACACATATTTCTCATTATCTAAAAGACAGCTTTTACTAACTCCTTTGATATCAAATAGTTCTATTAAATCCTGTGATTCTTAGAAGAGCCAGTGTCCTCTCCATGATGCCAAAAAGAAATGCCTTTCTCATAAATGTCAGCTCCACATAAGAAATGCAAAAATAGAGGACTGATGTTCTGGTAAAATATGTATTCATGCAGAAACACTTGTTGAGTTCCTGCTGGGAATGCAGAAATGAATAAGGTTTGATCTGTACTCTTAGGAAGTTACATGGATACACAGACCTCGCATGGTTTTTGCAGTTATTTGCAATGAATTTTGGAAAATATATTTTTCTATAATGCAGTCATTGAAGCAGAATTCTGACAATTTTCATGCCAACTCTTACTTCTCTCTTGGTCAAAATGAGGGTGTTAGATATTTATAATAGCAAAATATATAAATACAACCTAAATGTCCAAAACTGAGAAACTGGTTTAATAAGTTGTTATGACTATCCAATGGAATACTACATAAAGATGGTGTGTCAAAAATATATTTACATCATTGAGTAAAACAAAATCAATACATAGATATATGTACTACAGTTTCATTTTTGTGAGAAATAATAATGTATTTTTAATTTAATTATTATTAAATTAAAGAAGGATCTTTATTAAAATGCTCATAGCAGTTATCTCTTCGTGGTGGCATTATAGGAGATTTTTACTTTCTTTTGTGTGCTTATCTATATTTTTGACTTTAAAAAATGTTCATGTAATACTTATTTTCAGATTAAATTTCATAAAACTTGAATGCTGAACATAAATGTAAAATTCAACTCTTATTCTGAAACTCAGTTCAAGAAAGTGGAAAGGAGATAGTGTCTTCATTAAGAAAAAACATCACAGGAATAAGCACACGGCAAACGATAATAAGTGCTTGTTGAAGGCAAATCCTCATGATGGAAAAAACAAGAATTCAATCACTCCAGTTTGTGAAAAAAGCTATTACTATTTTTGTAAAGTTTCATGTCATTAAGGTAAAAAAATTATGGACGCAGAAGTTATGTTCTCTTATAAATAGTGGAGAGATACTTGGAAGTCTTTAAAATCAGGTAGACTTGGGTTCAAATACTGACAGTCCTTTATAGTTCTGTGAACTCAGACAAACCACTTAATATCATCTTCCCAAACTGTAAAATGGGGAAAAAGAGGCCCATGCTTGCTTAAACCCACTGGTTCACAGGATACATGGTAGCTATTACTGTTTTTGTTACAAATTTTGGACTTTATCACTCAATTGTCAAAACAACAGTGTTTTACATTAAATCATCACTGCATATGGGTTTACACATTAAATGGTGCGAAAGGCAGCCATTAAGTATTTGTATTATATGGAAATGGATTCTTTTAGTCATTTGATAAACATGTGATGAATGAGAACTTTACTTCAGCTCAGCAATAAAGAGGTGAAAGATTTAGTGACTTCCTTCATGGAGTTCAGAGTCAGGAGGAGGAGACAAAAAGTAAACAGACAGTTATCATTCGATAGCAACTGTTATGAAGTTTGGATGCACAGAACAGAGGAGCACTTGGGCGCATCACATGATGCCAAATGGGCATCATTTATTGTGCCCTCTATAGGTACGGTGTCTCCATGAGTGCAGTCCTGTGCCCGGGCCTCAGCCAGACGCAGTGGGGATGGAGATGGAGGTAGAGTAGGAGTTGGGCCCCCAGTGGGTGCAATGGTCTACTGGAGTCTTGAAGAATATGGAGATAAGCAAGTAAAGACAGCAGGAAAGAGTGTGCCAGGATGAGGAAGGGGCACAGGTAAGTGCAACCTGGGAAAATGTGGTCTGCCCTCTTCAAGGCTCCTTAGAGTTCAGTATGAGAGAAGGAAGCTACATGGGGAGGAGTAAACACCAAGGAAATACCGAACAGGACCTCCCATGCAAAGACACACGATTTGGAAGAGTTTTAATAAAATAGAACTGACAAAAATGAATCATATTGATTTGACTCATTAATTGGTCATTTGTATTTTAGAAAAGAAGATTATTAAATCCAGTTTCTTTTTTCTAATCAACTGTCTATTATTTACCAGACAGGATGTCAGAGAATTTAGTATTGCTGGTAGAAATATAATTAAATTTCCTAATTTGGGGGCAATTTAATTTGAAATTTAACATCACATTAAATGCAGCTATTTATCACTGCTGTCTTGTGTGTGTGTGTTTTTTTATTGTTGTTCAAGGATGAACAATTCTCACAAATATCACATTAAAATAATAAAAACATGCTGTTTTAATGCCTGGTCTTCAAAAGGGGAGGATTGTTAAATTAATACTCTACATGGCCCAAAATTCACTGCTGGGCTGAGATCAAAGAAGACCATGGACTTGGAAAGGCTTTAAGTCTCCAAAGCAATGGCTACTTCAACTATTTCTTTCATGAACCAGGACATCCTCAGTGTAAAATGAAAAGGACAAGTCAATAGATGCAACTGATTGTGTCCTCCGGGCACTTTCAAAGGCTTCTGATGGCTGGGGCAGCTTCAAAAGAAATAGGAGGCGCTGCAGGGATGCCCCCCCCCCCACCCCCGCGTCCTCTCCATGGCCTGACAAGGACAAGTCCTTTTCCCCTAAAGAAGGCACTGGGGAAAAGACTCCCTTTTTATTCCTTAATTATTCAGAGTGTTTGCCTTCAATCCCTCCTAAGGGCTAGCTCTTTTCTGGGAGCTGCCGACACAAAGATGAACACTTTACAACTCAAGTCACATGTCAAGACTCAGCTCCAATGTGGTTCTCTCACTGAGGTTCCCTGATCACCCCAGAGGTGACCTACCCAAGCTCTGAGCACCTCAGTCTCTTATTCATTGCTTTTTGTAGCTCTTAGCACAGGCAAATGCCAGAAAGTGAATTTGGAGGTGTGCATGTGGCTTTGCCATCTATTACTGTGTGGTTTACAAAAATCACTTTCCTTACTGGGTCTCAGTGTTTCTCATTCCCCAAATGGGGTTAATTATGTGGGGACGAACTCATTTTTTAAATTGCCATTTTTATGAATGTGGTAACTGAGATTCAGAGATGTTAAATAGTTTATCTAAAGCTACAAAGCTAATAATCAAAGTATTTCTAAAAATCTGTCTTGCATGTTTTCCATTATATCACAATTATCTCCAACCCTGAATCTGGGTGAGTTGTAGAAAAATCATATTTCAATACATACCTGCTTCGTGAATCTCTTCCTTCCCAGTATATGAGGAAAACACCTGCCTAGAAAACTTATACTGTTGTTCTCGGAAATTATTTTGTAAGTAGTCCATCAGCATGACGTAACCAGACTGTTGCATTGTAAGAACGTCACAAAAAACAGCCAACTGAAAAAAAGATCATTTAACATACAATGTAACATACCTGCTTCAAGGACATCGGTAAATGCTTTAGATATTCTGTGGTAAAGCTTAGAAAATCATTCTTTTTAGATTTCTTCCAATTACTTCATGTGTCTGAATTTCCAAGATTACCTGGCTTTCAGAGATGCTAACTGTATCTTTAAAAACAATCCAGTCAACAGAGTCTGTGCAGGGAGGGGACGTCAACGAGCCATTGTACGTGTAATACTTGTCAGTAGAGTTTGGCAGAAGGTTCAACAGTATGAACGGATCTAACACAGCCTGTTTCCCTACAAAGTAATAACATACATCTCAGCGGAATCCCAACTCTGGAAAGCTGTTCAAAACTATGAAACACAGACATATGCTTTATTATGTATTTAGTCAGAACTGAAATTTTAAGAACGTTTTAGATACATTTCAAAAACGGCATACTTCAAATTTTCTTTCATATGTCACTACATAATGTTAGATGCTTCGTCTTTACCTCAGCAAGATGCTAGAGAGATTACTTTACATATAAAAGATATTCAGAAATCATATGACCATTTCAATAAATACAGAAAAATCATTTGATGAGATTCAATATCAGTTCGTAGAAAACAAAAACAAAATCTTATTCTGATGATTATCTTCAAAAGCCCATAAATAAACTCAGATTTAAAGGTGTCTTGTTGAAAGGTTTTCCCCTAGAGATCAAGAATGAGACAAGGATCTCCTGCTATCACCATTTATATCATTGAACTGGAAGACCAGGCCAGTGCAATAAAGTAAGAATAAGAAAAAAAGTCATAAAGATGGATAGGAATAAATGATAACATCATATTTGGAAATAACATGATTGTGCACGTAAAATATTGAAAAAATGTACAGCCTATTAAAATTAATACGTGCATTTAGTAAAGTCACTACACACAAGACCAATATACAAGAATTTATTCTATTTCTATATAAAAATATCAAACAATAGAAAATGAAATTTAAAACAACTTAAAAAAGCAACAAAATATCAAATATCAGTAAATCTAACAAATGATGTATATAACATCTATATTTAAAAATACAAAACTTTCTTGAGAGAATTAGATAAAATCTTAAAATAAGGGGAAATACCATGTTTGTGGGTTTGAAGATTTAGTACTGTACAGATATTGATTTTCTCCAAATTAATTTATGGAGTCAATGAAATCTTAATCAATGTCCCAGGATGGTGTGCATGTTAACTAACATGGTGATTTTTAAATTTAATTGGAAATACAAAGAAAAGTTAAGACACTCTTGAACAATAACAAAGCTGGTGACCTTTTGCTACTAGATAGTAAGACTTATCATATAAAACTATAAAAATTATGATAGTGAAATCTTTATGGAAAAATAGAAATAGTGAACATGGAAGAGAAAGAGTCCAGATCCACACATATATAGTCATTCAATTCATGACAGAAAAAGTTCCTATGGAGTTGGAATGGACAGCAATTTCAACAAACAGTGCTGTATCAGTTGAGTATCTTTATGGAATAAAAGTGAACCTTGATTCCATACTTCACATCAAATCAGTTCTAAATAAATTGCACAAATTAGTTCTAAACAGACTATAGATCTAAATGCGAACAGAATAATAAAGCTTTTAGGACAAAACAGAGAAAGTTATCTTTGTAGCCTTATGGTATGTTGAGATTTCTGAAATAACATACAAACAGTATTATTCATAAAAGGAAAATGATAAATTTTAATATGTGATAACATCTACTAATCAATAGTCACTATTAAGAGTAAAAAGGCAAGACAAAGAGTAGAAAATAAATTCTGGATAATGTATATACATATATATCATATTTATTGGATTATATATATGAATTATATATAATACAATAACTATTGATTTAATTTTGCTAGATATACAAGTAGATATATAACTTGTACCTAGAATAGAGAATTACTACAAAAAAATTTGTAGAGCTTTCCTAAGTTGTTCCTTTAGCCCTAGAATCCTGAAACAATCCAATTTACCTTTCTCCTTGAATAACCTCATTTTGTTTTTGTGTCTTCCGATTAACACTTACCAATGACACTACATTGGTCAGTTAGCTATTTGTGTAAGCAGCAATCTGCTTACCAGCGAGACCTGTGTCTAACTCACTCTCCCATCCTCTTAACTACCTAGCCCTATTCATGTCCTCTGCTCCAGCTGGTAGATTTAGGCCAAAAGAAATCGTCCCCAAAGCCCAGTTAATCTGGTCTAAGTGAGGTGGCACAATGTAGAACAGCAGTTTCACCCCTTATGCAAATCATCTGGGGAGCTTTACAAAATACACCAATGTCGCAGACATCCCTGGTCCCCCAGACCATTTAAATTCAAATATCTAGTGGTAGGGCCTTGGCGTCTGCATTTTTCAAATATGCAGCCAGGGTTGAAAACCCAAGTAGAGTGAAGCCTTTGCAAAATTTTAGTCTTTATGAACCCCACCTTACTCGTTAGAAAATGAAATGACTGGACTACATGACCTAATAATAGTCTACTCTAGCTCTAAACTCTAAAAAGACTGACCTTATCCAGAAAGATTCAAAGAAAAAAAAATACATCCATTTAAAAGTTCAATCAATGAATGTTAATTTTTCTTCAATACAGAAACTTTTGAAGGAAGAATGCTTTTAATATAGTTATAGATAACTCCTTCTAGTCTGAATGTAAGACTCAGTGATAGAAATAAAAACCTATTTGACTGAATTGATAGTGTTGTGTATACGAGTATATCACCTAAATCTAGTTTTCATTCATTAGAAAATTCTAGCTCTGCTTGGTTTAATTAGTAACTTCTAAATAGATTAATTGGTAACTTCTAAAAAAGTATGTCTTCCTCTCCTCCAATGTCAAGATGAGATAATTAGAATTCAGACTCAGATTCAAATTCTCTGAAACTTGAGAAAAATGTTTATTTTTAACATGCAAATATTTTCCATTTTTAGTTTTGTTTTTAATTTAAAATCTTGTGATTAAACAATCTCCTTACTCATCCATGGACTACGATTTTTGCTTTTTCTGCTGAAGACACAATTTATCTGCAAACATTCTGTGGAAATGTGAATGTGGAGAATACTAATTAAGGAGTGAGCCAGAAACTGACTCACTGCTAAATTAGGCGTAAAATGAAATGACACCAGGGGAGCTAGAGACTAGGAAAGAAAAAATGAGAATAGGGATGATGAAATAAAAAACTTTCTTGAAATTGAAAAAGAAATTAAAGGGGAAAAAAGTTAAGAAGAGAAAGAATCAGAAGAAAGTTTTCGATTTTTCCTTTTTTCACTCCAATATGGAATCTGTTCTTCCTGTGTGAGTTTCAGGGACTCACATCTAGTCTCTCTTATGGACATGTTCACTATTCCGTACCTTAATTTTTTGTTATCTAGATACATGTCCAAGGTTTCTGTCTTGGGTATCACAAGACTTTTCAACTACAATAGTGCTAACTGGACTAAGGTGTGTGTGTGTGTGTGTGTGTGTGTGTGTGTGTGTGTGTGTGGCTTGCAAAAACATGTTTCATCTGTACCACCAGAGAGACTCATACCTGAGCCAACACTGCTCTATTTGTGATCAATTATTCATTCCTTCATTCAATCACTATTCATTTGAACATATGTATAGGTGAGGAACCAATCAATTAAATCCCCCTGGATTTGGGAGGTTGGAATCGGGAGGAGGGAAGATGAGGAGGTTGAAAACTAGGGAGATGAAGACCATAACAGGGCCAGCACTAAGGAGAGACCACAAGTGCTTAAAACCAACTCCTCCTATTACTTAGTACAATGAGACTTAAGATGGAGCTACCTCAAGGCACCTGTGAGGATTTTTCAATACAGAAATTCCTGGGCTGAGTTTGAGATTCAGAAAGCACCACAGGTTCTTCTAATGAAAATTCCCGTTTGACAGTCACTGACAATGTTATCTGAGGTGTGTCTCTTCCTTAAACTTAAAACATTTCACCTAACAGTTCTCTTTTTTGGTGGGGTTCTGCTTGGGGAGTATTAATTTACTACCTTTGTATGGCTGCCACTTCACCCACCCTCTGACTTTTCCTCTCCCCTTTGGGGGTCGAACAACCCTTTCACAGGGGTCGCCTATGACCCTCGGGAAACAAAAAGATGTTTATATTATGATTCACAACAGTAGCAAAATTCCAGTTATAGAGTAGCAACGAAAATAATTTTATGGTTGGGAGTCACCACAACATGAGGACCTGTATTAAGGGGTCGCGGCATTAGGAAGGTTGAGAACCGCTGCTCTAAAGGAAGAGAAGGAAAGGGAAATGGGTTTGCCTCCTGGAGAGGAAGATAGGAAACGAGCAACCGGCCCACATTATAATAAGATGGATTTTACGATCTGGGTGACGGTTGAAAAATGTTGTGTTTTGAATAACTCACGCTATATGGAGAACATGGAGCAGGATTTGGGAGTTTGGCTGCAGTTTCAGAGTCACTGTCTGAACACAAGCATTGCCTTCAATCCTCTAGGTTCCCAGCAGCAAAGCTGAGGCCAACACTGGGAAGATGTCAGTGTGCGAGGCACTGGGGGATTTTCTAGATTCTAAAAGAGATTTAATCCAAGAACTCTCAAAATGGAAACGCTTAACTTTAGGAGACTTAACTCATTTAGTTAACATGGATCATATCTAACAACCATTCAAATAATATCGACATGTGTTTCATGTGTGTTCTGAAACATACGTGTATAACTAATAGAAATCTCCACAAGCTTTGTGGACACATTAACATCTAAATTCTGGCTTTACCACTTACTGCACAGTCTTAGGTGTCCTTGTTGAATATATTGAAATATTAAGCTTCTAATGGGTGATTGAAAGGCATGGAGGATGTAATTTTTTTGGTAAAAGAGGAGGGGGGAAGTTGGTACACAAGTAGCAGGGCAGAGTGACAGAAGATAGATGGGTTAACATAGGGCAGGGTAGTGTGTGCTCCCAGCCAGCCCAAGAGACTATTAGTTCTGCTTTCAAGTGAAGAGCCAGGATGTAGACAGAATAATGCTGCCAGGGAGGCCATATTCTTGGGGAGGGTATTATGTGGCAAGCGGTGCTCTGGGAAGCACCTCTCTCAGTGGCTTGCAAACAGTAGATGTTAACAAGTAAGCTTTCATGAAGAACAGGAGCAAACTGTCTCCTAAGCTCATGTGAGCTCCCTCCTACAGATCCCCAGGAAACACTGAAGAGGTCTCAAGACCCGGGGGCCAAAGTGTCCCAGTGACACAAGCCAGGACTCCCAACCCAGTGTTGGCATCGCGCTTGTTCCCACAGACTGGTGCAAGGCCTGGGAATATTCAGAATTCATTTCTCACACAATTTTAAGTGTAGGAATTCATACTGGCTGCCTTCTTACAGTCTTAATAGAATCTACTTTCTGACTAAATGAGAAAAAAAATTAAGTATGGCTCATGGCATTCCATGTTGAATTTTGCAACCTGGATGGAGGGAGATAACAGCTTCATTTTGTGTTTGACTGCACCTTTCAAAGAAAAACAAACAAACAGCTGCACTGCAGGAGTTCATATATGCCTGACTCCTGAAAGTTTGGTCAGTTCAGGTCCTGACATGTAATTGACAAAGATAAATCAACCCTGGGCCAGGCTTCAGCTTTCAAGAAAAGGGTCTACATGCATTTCATTTCTGATTTCAAATTTTGCAGCTTCCCAGAGAGGAAAAATTATCATTTTAGTCATAATTCAGAACAGCATTAATTCCCTGTGCATGGGTGCTTAATAACAATAAAATAATAATAACAGGTTTGCTGTCCCTTGCCAATGTTGTCAAAAGCATTTGTGGTGACAAATTACAAGAGACCTGAAATGGCAGGGAAAACACTATCAGAGCATGTTGCATCTTCTTGTATGTAAACATCTACCTTCTTCCAAAAATCTTATCTTGTCTTGTTGGTAAAGCAAAGGACTTACCAAGAAAACCACCAGGGAATATATTTTAACTTGAGTTACATTTACCTTTCTACCTTAAAATAAGATTTGCATAATATTAACTGGTTTCAAGTTATAAATTAGAATCTTTTACGATTGTTCAATGCAGAGGCAGAACAGATAAATACACTTAAAATGCATGATGTGGTGAGGTTATTTTCAAGAATAAAATTAGAAAACTTCAACTTCCTGCTTACATGAACATTTAGTGATTTCTAGGTGACAAAAATTTATAAATTGTTCTTTAGTGAGAAATGTATAAACCATCAAGTGTGAGAACTGGTCCTTCCTTCTTTTGGAACAACTGGTTTTTGTAATAGTGTAAAAAATTCATATGCATCCAAGTAGAACCTGGAAGAGAGAGATTTCTCCAAATAACTTACCAAAACGACTAACATTCTCGACTCCATCAATAATTGCTTTGTAATTCAAATTTTCTTCTAAACCAACCTGTTGGAGAAGAATACAACATTCTAAAAATGGGATAAAAATATTTGGTTAACTGTTTAATAACATGAAAATATTAGTGATTTCCATTTCTTTTTTAAAAAAAATATATTTTTTAAATTGGGGAATTGGGGGATGGGAACAGTGCTGAGGAATTGGGGGAATGGGAATAGACAAGTTGTTTTTGTTCTTCAGCCTAGTTGTGGAGGATGTTGCTTCACTGGCCCATGTTGTTATTATCATTGCGCTCTTCCCAGGTGAGGCAGATCTGTCAACCGGCTTCTGGACGGCTGCTCATGTTGGCTGCTGGCTACACACGGTAGCCCATGGCAACCCACTGCAGCAGGGGCTGCAGCCTGCGCCTTCGCTGGCAACTCACTGCAGCCCAGCTCCAGGTTGAGCTGTTGTTCAGCATCTTAGCTGTAGAGGGCAGTGTCATTGGCCCTCATATATGGGATCCGAACCGGGGCCCTCTGGCATCCCAAGCCAGCTCTTAAACAACGGGCCACTCGGCCGGCCCAGTGAGTTCCATTTTAAGTATTCAAAAGTCAAGTCCTCCAAATGCACACTTTTTGTTTCACAGCAAGGTAAAAACAAAACAAAGAAAAACCTTTGAAATCTCTTAAATTTTCCACTGAGAAAAGTACATTTAAAAATGTTATGATTCAGTCACTACTATACCATCATGATGCTTTGCATAAACAAATCTGCGAATCTCAGCACTCAGAGCACCGTTAGCTCCCTCTGGGAGTGACTTACCGATAAATGAATACAGGGGCCCTTAAACATACCAGCCAAGGGGTTCTCTTTGAAAACGACCCGACCACCACTTATTAGCCTACTTGTGAGCTCTTCTATTTGGTACACAGTATGTTTTGAGATTTCACATCAATATCTCATGCATCAAAAAAGGAATTAGGTTAGTGTTACATCTATGTATAATGATTACCTCAAATAAAATGGACAAAGCTCTTAACTTCCCTTTTCCTTTAACTGCATCCTCAAAACTTGAAAATTGGTCCGCATTAAAGCAGTAGATTTGCATCTGTAAATGTAACAATGATGGTTTTATTATATATGAAGAGTTCACAAAAATCAGCTAAGAGACAATAACAGAATTTACCAATTCAATCAGTTCTCTCTGAAAAAGTCCATAAACTGGACAATTCTACCTTCTGTCTAGTCTCCGAATGCTTTATCAATTACATGTACATACAATGGCATTTACTATCATTTATCACCCTGCAATGAGGAAGTACAAAGTTAGATATAACTAGAACTGAAATCACCCCTTTGAGATTACCAGTCGGCACTGAAGTAATCATTTACTAGAGAAATTGTCAACTGTAATATATGATCAAATGTTATTTCAACTATTTTGCTGGAATTCTTTCAAATATGGTTGCATTGTTTCTTGACTGGACAAGCCTTGCTTGACCGTCTAAATTACTATTTTTGGACAGTATCGTCTTGTACTGTATTGATAGAGAAACTCTCAAGGACTCTGCTTCTACCTAACAAACATCAAAAGAGGTCCTTATTTTGTCTCCTCTCCTGCTGTGAGGCTATCTCTTGTTAAATTTTGACTCAGTCCATGTTTCTGTCGATAACAGCCTCAACTCTCATTTATAATTGGGTGCGCCTCGTGTCGTGGGCTTCAAAATCAGGCAAGTCAGCTAGTTGAGAAACGTCATTAAGGGAAGAGCAGAAAGGCTCTGAGAAGATTAATGTCTGAGAAACAGTGTGTGTGAAGCAGAGGGTGGCAGAGGCTGCTGCCTGGGGTGATCATTGGATCCCTCCAAAGACAGGATTTCTAAACTGACCCCTAAAGGATGAGCAGCTCAAAAGACGACAAGACAGACATGTGTTCAGGTCAGAGGGACCAGCTCTGGGAACAGCCAGTAGGCAAGACAATAGGAGAAACGTGGGAAATGAGAAGTGTTAATAGTTTGTTAGGATTTCAGCTGAGCAAATGGGAGAGAAGATGGAAGAGATGAAGCCGGAGGGGCAGGCAGAGCCCACACCAGGCAGGTTTGGGAGGCGTCCCTGCCTGCAGTTTGGTCTCCGGAGTTATGGCAATGGCAGGTCTTGATGCATTTCAGCTAATGGGGTGGAGAGGGGGCATGGCTGGGGGCAGGGGTAGTGAGGAAAGACGCAGGCTGGACAGTAAAAGGCCAGTTCAGGAACATGTAATAATCAGAGAAAGAGACAAAGGTGGCGTGAACTTTTTCCTGACCTCCCAGATTATTTAGGGACAGAATTTAGACTTGACTGTAGAATGTGGGAGACCAGGAAAAAAAGGGCAAGTGAAGGTTGCCCCTCAATTTCCCAGCTTGCATAACAACATGGAGGGAGTTTAAAACAAACAAACAAACAAACAAACAAACAAACAAACAA